TGCCCAGGCGGGTCTCGAACCTGCAGGCTCAGACAATCCACTCACCTCAGCCTCCCAAAGTACGGGATTACAGGCTGAGCCACCGAACCCGGCGGAATATTTTCATATACATAATGAGATCACTTGGGGATGGGACCCAAGTCTATACATGAAATTCATTTATGTTTTACATACACCTTGTACACATCGATTGAAGTTAATTTTATACAGCATTTAAAATAATTTTGTGTATGAAACAAATTTGTATATATCAAACTATCAGAAAACAAAGGTGTCACTATCTCATTCACCCATGGTAACAAGCTGTGGTTGTCTGGCATCATCCTCATGCTGAACATGGAAAGATATATTACAGGTGAAGGGGGCTGGAAATGTCTTTTTTCTTTCGGAGACGCTGAATAAACTGTGTCTTGTGTGCCTGCATTTAGACTGCAACCCATCACGTGAGGTCAGATGTGGAATTTTCCATTTGTGGCATTATGTGGGTACTCAAAAAGTTTCTGATTTGGGAGTATTTTGAATTTCAGATTCTCAGGTTAGGGATGCTCAATCCATACACATGTAGTAGAAACATTTTACTTAAAATGTCTAAAACCTTGTAACCATTTTGTGGGTGTGGGTAAGTGCCTAGAATGAGAAAAATAGAATCTATATTTTTTGTAGATTAGGAAAAAGATATAGCTCTAGGAAAAAGATAAATGTTGCTTCTTTTGCTTCCAGAACAAGCCTGATATTTTAGTCGTGTAAATGAAATACTGTGGTTTCCAAGTCTCTTTCTAGTCCTTTGTGCTGATTAAGGGAGAATGCCCAGAGAGCTGTCCCTGTATTTGGAAAAGTACCTTAATGACTCTGGGAAAACAAAGGTAGAGTTGAAGCTAAGTTTGGGATGGGAGCTAAGGGTCAAAACTGTAAAATGAGATACATTCTGGTATTCTAGGAGCAGTCTAAGAGAAGGACTGGTAGGTCCAGAAAAATGAGAGTGGACAACATGTGAAGAAGATCTAGAAAGACAACTTCATGGCCTGAAGTTGCTGACTGGGTCCTGGGAGAAGCTGGTGCGAAAGAGAGTTCTTTGAGAAGGTGGCTGAGGAGTTTTAGAACGGATACACCTCACTCATATTTTCAAGTCATCTGCTATGCTGCGATATAGCCTTTTCCATTATCTTCACACCATAAGCAAATATCTGATAGAATCAACTGTCCAGTGTTAGAGGTGCTTTGGGAAAATCAAAAACAGGACTGTGACCCACGTTAATGTTAATATAAAGAACATCTACAAGAGTCGAGACATATGAGATTGAAAACTCTGCAGAGGAAACTCAGAACTGGAGGGGATGAAGAGATGTTTAAGTTCTCTATCAGTGACTAGAGATACTGAGGGGTGGGGGAACATAGATGCAGGTTCTACATTGCACAGGGGAGGGGCTAATGTCAGTTCATTTGCATATTATAGAAAAAGGTTACCCTGTATACCTGGATGATTTGGCATTCAGCTGACATGTGAGTTACATACAAAAGTGAAGTAAATGCACTTACCTATTGTAATTCTCTTTTAAAAGAAGTGGACTAACTTTTGCACAAGTTTTATAAACTAAAACTTGCCTTTGTATAGCTAGTCAAATGTTTTAGATCTCTTATTTGTTTAATCCTTAGATTACCCCTCATGAAATACATAGACCAGCCAATACTATCCCCATTTACTATCTGAGGAGCTAAGGCTCAGAGACAAAATAACTAATCTGGGTCACACAAATGATAAACAGCAGAGCAGAGGCAAGAAATCAAAATGATAATTAATTGCTTTTTCTACTACATCACATGGCAAAGAATGTGCAAACGACCCTAGAGAACTCAAGCGGCAAGAGGTTTGGATATTGGAGATTGACTGAATAATTTTCCTCACTTTCAATGAATAATGGTCCTTCAAGAATTTCAAAGGAAAGAGCATTTGCTTCTTTCTCAGTTAAAGAATAGGGCTGACTTTCAAACCAATTTGAGAGTAAAAGGCACTGGAGAAATATGAACCCAGACATTCTGCCTTACAACTACTCAAAACAACTGTCTTCTAGTATGTGGAAGGGAAGAAAGAACAAAATTTCAGGCTCCAGCTGCATTCTCTGCAACCAGGTCTTCCAAATGAAAGCAAAGGTTTATATCATTCATTCATGGTATGCTTGAGCACCTTCTGGGTTCACTACACTGTGCTAGAAAGTGGTTAATAAAACAGGCACACTCTCAGTCTTTGTGAAAAGCTTACTGGAAGAAAAAAGCCATCAAGTAATGATGCACACATATTAACATTATTCCAATGGTGTTAACTCTACAGGAGAAAAGAACATGATGTTATAAGAAAGGTTAACTGGAAAGATCTAATATAGACTATGGGTGAGTCAGTAAAAGTCTTGAGAAGAGCAAGAGTCAGCCAAAAGAGCAAGAGTTTCAGGCAAAGGGGACAGTAGTGCAAAGGCTTTAAGGCAAGAAAAAGGTTTTGAATTTAAGCAACAAAAGACAAGCTAGTTTGACTAGAACATGTTGAGCAATGAAGTTCGTTTCACTGGATGATACTGTGGAAGAAGGGACAAGGCTTTGTCGCTACTGAACCAGGCAGCTACAAACAGGTTTCAAACAGCATAGTGAAATAATCTGATGGATGTTTTAGGAAGAGCTGTCCAGAGAATGGGGAGGTGGAGCAAGAGAGAATGTGGAGAAACTGGTCCAAATGAGAGACAATGGTGTTCTGAATGGAGTCATGGCAGTGAAGATAGAGAAAAGAGCATGGATTGGGAGATATATTTAGAACTCAGAATCAATATAAGCTTGGTGGATGACAAAAATTGGGGATGATGGGAACTAAGATACCAATAATGACTTCTAAGGTTTCTGACTTAAGAAGCTAAGTAGATAAAGTTTCTATTTATAGAGATGAAAAAGCTGAGAGAAGGAGTAGATTTAGCAGGGGGTAAGGAGATATAAAAAACTAGAGCTCATTCACAGATGTCCTAAATTTGATATACATAGAACACACCCAAGGGGAGACAGTCTAAGAGTTATATATTGATTATACAGAAACAAAAGAAGTTTGATCTGTATATAAAAATGTGGAATGCCGGGCTCAGTGGCTCAGCCTGTAATCCCAGCGCTTTGGGAGGCTGAGGTGAGTGGATTGCCTGAGTCTGAGGATTCGAGACCCACCTGGGCAACTTGGCGAGACCTCATCTCTACAATAAATCAAAAATTAGCCAGGTGTGGTTCCTCGCGCCTGTAGTTCCAGTTACTTGGAAGGCTGAGGCAGAAGGAACGCTGGAGCCCAGTAGGTAGAGGCTTCAGTGGCCAGGAGCGGCCACTGCACTCCAGTCTGGGTGACAGAATGAGACGCCAACTCAAAAAAATAAAAATAAAAAAATAAAAATGTGGAAACTTATTGACATTTCCATAAGACTTAAAACAATGGGAATAGATACAAAAACTGGGAAATGATATAGAAAGGCAGAGAGTCCAAATTTTGTGAGCTTGGCAACACAAAGACATAGCAAGAACAGATCCAGTAGATAAGTAAAAGAGAAAGCCAGATAGAGTCAGTAGAAAAGGGGATGGAAGGCGAAGTAGTAAAGATAATATGTGTGGACAATGCTTTGAAAAGAGAATGCTATTGATTTTCTTGGAAGAAATATTGTACCAAATATCAAGATGTGAATTCCTTGATGTGATGAAAAAGAAAACCCATAAGAATAAGCACCTGATTCTACTAAGAAGCCACCATGGTAGGTAATACCATTACCTGATTCCACATCAAGGGAATATCTGTCAATAGCCAAGTTCATGGTTTGGTAGGCAGTGGTGCAAAAATCTTCCAGAATCATATACACAGCATCGTTGACATTAGGAGGGACAGAATTGGCAAACTTCATTCGGCTGTTCACCACAATACTGCCATTTCTGAAGTTGAGGATTTCTAAGTTCTGGAACCCTGTGAGATTTGACTGGAGATAGGGAACCAGCTACAACACATGAAAAGGAGTAAGTTTATTGACAAGGTTTTACATTTTGTTCAATACATACCAAAACAAAACAAAAAACCAAAATGAGCCCTTCCCACATTCTCCTAATTATATTACCTCTACATTTAATCTTTTAATTAACAAAAGGATAAATTAGGAATGATTTGAGAGTGTAAATTAGGAATGTCATGAAATTTCCATAGAGATAGTTAGAAATCCCATGGAACCCATAAACCATTTTAGACACCCAGAGAATTTATTCTCTCTGTTTCACTAAAGGATTACAACAGTGATGGCATCTCAGGTAACTTGAAAACACTGGTCTCACAATAAAATGTGAAAATAAATTTCAAACTTATTTCAGTTCTATAATTCATGGACTACAATCTGCCATATAAACTATCACATCACCTCCATGCCATTTTTGTGTTTTCTACTTATTGTATCCACCTGTCTTTTCTTCCTCCCAACCCTAGTCCAGGGCACTATTTGTGGATGATAGGAAATGAATGTTCACAGCAGATCACCCTTTCCTTGGCTCAGACCTTGTGTGCTGGGTGTGTGTGGTTGGCGGGGGGGGGGGGGTGGCAGGGATAGGTGAAGGGTGGTTTATGCATGATTATTCACAAGTGCCCATGTTTCACTTTTTGTGCTTACCAGTTCTAAGAATCTTTGCTCCAGGGCTTTATACTCCAAAGAGTTTTTATTAAACAGATCTTCTGAAAACATCATATTAGTCACTCGGAGGCTGAAGAAAACCACCAATGCTCCTGCAGTCTGGGTATAACTCAAGTCACCTCCTTTCGTGGGCCAAGCCGCATTAACCATCTCTGTGACATGAGCACTTGTAGACATTTCCACATAACTACCAACCTTGCCATTTTGCTCTTGGATTAGCTCAGGCTGATAGTAATCCGTGCCTACCCGGTCCAGTTCTAAAGAAATATCCTGAACGCCCATAATTACTTCATCTTCCAGCAGGGTGGAGCTTGTGGTTGGAGGCAATTTGGTAGATTGTGTCATGGAAGCTTTCAACCAGAGTCTGTCAGTACTCTGTGGTGTACCTGCCAATGTGTCTCTGGACAATTTCCCTAGGGAAGAAGTCCTTGTCCAAAGTATATCTGATTCTGGCAACATAGTCCACAAAGGTTGCATGTCTGGCTTCACCACTGAAGCCTCACTGTCAAACCACTCATGGTCAGCGGACTCTGCAGCTTGTTCCATATCCTCCTTTAGGAAAGTGTCTGTTTGATCTGGTTCATCAGCAGAAGCAGAGATTGCCACAGACACGTGCTTGGGGAGAGTTAGAGATACAGACTGAGTTGTAGTCTCAGCAAAGATGGGCACAACAGGTCCACCCAAGGGCTCTTCCTCTGGAAAGTGTGTGGGTCTATCACCGTGCTCATATTTTGAATGCTCAATAATTTGGTCTGTGGAATCCATTTTGTCAACTATAACCAGTTTCTCATCTTCACCCTCAATTGGCAGAAGTGAAACGCCATCTTCGAGCCATGGTGGGGCCAGTGTTTCAGTGCTCTTCTCTGATGAAGGCTCACTCCATGGCCAAGTGGTCAGATCCACCTTTTGTCCAGATCCTGAACCTAAGCCACTCTCAGATATGAACTCTTTTTCCACAGTTGTGTCTGGCAACAAAGGGCTCACTTCTAATTGGTCCAAGCCAAATGGTTCAGTTATTTCTTGATCAAGATGATCTAACGTGTCAGTGGAGGTGAAATATGGTGAAAATGTGAAGGACACACCAGAGTCTTCCATAGCTGGTGCTATTTCTTTTGGCACAGGTTGAGTGAATGAAATTGAAGGCAATTGGTCAATAGAAGGAAAATCTTCTGATTCTTCAATGGTGGCTAATCCTAAAAATGAAATTTTCCATTAGTTGATCTACAGAGTTACCAAACTATATTCCTAGTTTTCCTAATAAAGCTAGTTGCCTGTTTTTTTGTTTTTTTGTTTTTTTCCTGTGAAGCTAGCAAGGACAGTCACTGACTTTTGCTTTGCTATCTCTAACAAACAGTAAGATCTGATAATGTGCTTGTTATGTAGAACAATCACTCATGACTATTATCCCCCTTCTTGAGGATGACAAGGGGATGACAAGGCTTGAAACAAGCCTCAAATACGTGAATTCTTTTTTAATTTCATAAAAAATAAAGAACTGCTGGTAGCCTTTCTGACCACAAAGACTAAATCCAGTGGTCATTTCCAAAGAAAAGCCCCCCAAAATTGTGATTCTCACTGAATTCCCATTTCCCCCGTTACATGTATGGCCCATCATCCTTCAGATTTACCCGGTGTTTGAAATTCTGAACTCATTATTTACATCTTCGTTCACCTTCCTCTTTCACATATATACAACATCCCTAAGTCACGTTGAGTTTTTCCTCCACAACATCAAACTCATCAGTTTCATTTTTTCACTTGTTTCTCTCTGCTGCAGCTGCCCTAGTTTAAGTTCTTCCCTGCACAATACTACTACAAGCTACAATCTTTAGACATAACCTGCACAGTCAATCCTATTAACCTCATGGAATAATCTTCTTTGATGCTGTTTGTTTATCACTCCAATATTTAAGTCAGTAAAGTGGTCCTTTAACAGCAGTAATAATTTAACTAGATAATATACTCTTCAATACAACCTTCATTGAAAACATTCATTCACTGATCCCCACCCCAGTTCCTCAGATTTATTTCTTACTATTTATACTATTTATACATTTGGTCTCACCATCCCAACGAATTGAATTTGATTATTTCCTCTCTCACATAAGTCTCCCAAGACATCTTCCCCTCAATGAAGCCTACTATGCTTTTCTCCTAACCATAGTCTCTTCCTCTCTTCAAAACCCTTGTCATCTGATATAATAAAAAGTATGAAAAGTGATTAGAGTTCCTCACCATCTTCTAACAAGTCAGATCCAGAAGTCCTCTCCTCAAATGCCACAGGCAAGCCAGGCTGAAGCACTGCCGGGGTGACAGAATGAAGAGTCAAGCTGCTAACCTCTAAAACCTCTGGGGAAGAGCTGAGGCCCGTCTCCGAGGGAAAGACTAGTTTGTGTGTAGACACTAAATCACCCAAAGGACTTTCTGACCAGAGTTCCCTGTCAGTGGCTGAGGGAGGACCAGAGCTGAAATCAAGTGGTGAAATAGTGCTGGTGATGGATTCATCTGCTGAGGGCCATGCAGCTTGGAGGGCATTATCCTGGGGGGAGAAAAAGGCTAAATCATATCACAGATAAAAGGAACACACAGAAAATGACCTTAAGGGGGTGGAGGGAAGGAAAAAAAAAAGAAACGACCTTAAACACCACCTATCTATCTGGGAAATGCAAGCAGACCAAAGAACAAAGAACAAAGAGTGAGAGGTTAGGGTATTTCTTCCCTTCTTCCTCCAAGCCTCATCACCATGTCTCTTGTACTAACTGTGTCCCTCCTTCCACAACTAGAGCTCTAGCTCTCACTGGGCTCTGGTGACTGCATTACTTCCCCTTGCCCCATGATCCAGTAGATGTTAATGACTTCTCACAGTTATCAGTCTCCGCAGACCTCAACATTCCTTTTTGTTCCCTTCACCCTATCCACACCTCCATTAGTTGATCCCTTCTAGATGATTCTGTTACTGTTGAGACCCTGGATGAACCATATTATACAAATATGCCATCATTTTGTAGTGAGTGCATTTTTAAAAATCCATTGAGGTTTGAACCACTTCTATCAAAAAGTGATTAGGTAATTCAAAATGAAATACAAATGCCCAGCAAGTAAGGAATGAGAGTCCATTAAAACAACAATAACAGCATGAACCAAAAATGGTATCATTCTGGCTAAATGTAATTAGAAATTTAAAACCCGGAAAGGAAAGAGGGGTGTGATTAAAGTATATGATGCAATGTTAGAAAACATTTTGGCAATGCAGCTTTGGTTAAAAAAAAGAAAAAGGAATAATATCTAATCCTGGATTGTACTCCACATCTTTAAAATTTCAAAAAAGGAATGGGGGATGGGGAAACACCTCTTATCAACAGGGTGCCTGAATGAAACATAACTGTACACCTAACCCTTAACTATACCCCACAAAACCATAATAAAAAATATTGATTATGAAAAAAATAAAATAAAATAAAAAATTAAAAAAGGAATAGAAGCGAGCGATATGTGGGCATTAGACTGAAGTCTAAGAACCTAATAACCTGAGTCTGTTGAAGTGAAATGTGTGAGAGAAAACACATGACATCTGTAAAGAAAGAGGAAGCCGAAAGCCACCCTCAAACAGTCATATCCAGCTTCAAGAAAGCTTTAGAGAAAGAGAAAGATTTTAGGACAAGAAATGCCCTCTTGAGAATCCCCCATCAGAAGTAAACCTGAGGATAATAAGTGGTTCATGAGTCAGGCCCAAAGTGGTCTAATCAGGGAAACCATTTCCAACATTTTCCTAGGAAACCTTAAGAGTGCAATCACCAGGTGTAGAGTTAACCTCACACAACTGTATGTAGTGGAGGCAGCTTGCATGCATGGTGTTCCTACGAAACTCAGTGCCAGATAGACACACAAAGCTGCCTCATGTTTCTGCCTAGAGGGTCTCAGTTATTCTGGGTCTCCTCAAGAGTGGACCAGATAGAAAGAGCAAGAGTTCAATTCCAGATGAATGGAAGACAACAAATTAAAGTCCAGAAAGTGAACGGCAAAAAAATAATAATAATAAGTAAAAATAAAACGTTTTGTCTTGTCAAAGTCTTATGTGCTTTGCAAGGCCATCTTACCATTTATAAAAATAGTATGTTGGGTTGGGTGACTCACACCTGTAATCCCAGCATCTTAGATGGCCAAGATAGGAGGACCACTTGAGACCAGAAATTCAAGACCAGCCTAGACAACACAGCAAAAAAGCTAGACATCTTTCCAAAAAAGCCTTAAAAAGTTAGCCAGGCATGGTGGAGCATGCCTGCATTTCTGGCTACTCAGGAGGCTGAAGCAGGAAGATCAACTGACCCCAGGAGGTCAAGGCTGCAGTGAACCATGATTGTGCCATTGCACTCCAGTCTGGGCATCAGAGTGAGACCCCCCAACATAAAAAAAAACAAACACCAGTATGTTGGGAAGAGGGCTGAGCATGCACATGTATGAGAACATAACAAAAGCATCCACTTTCAGAACTAGAAGGACTTTCAAGAATCATGTAGTCCAACCGTGTCTCAGTTCCTAAGAAAAGGAACTGAGGTTCATAGAAGTGAAATGCCCAAGGTCATAAAAAATAGAACAAAAATCAGAACCAGACACTGAGTCTCTAGATTTCTCAGTGCCTGTACTTTCCCCACTATAACAGCTATTCATCAGAGGTCTCTATAATTGTATTCCCAGATGGTGAAAGGATTCCAGAGGAGAAACTAGAGAAAACAGACTTGGCAACTCATGCTCATTAGGGTTAGCATATTCCACAGCCTACAGGACCCAGGTAAACACAGACAGGAGGGAGAGAGGAAGACCACTGCCTAATATTTAAGTGTCTGCTCTACGGAATATAGAGACTTTATATAGAAAGGAAAGTTTCTTCCTTTCTCTGTTCTTTTTCTAGTACCTAAAACCCATATATGTATTTAGAGGAAAGTAAAAAAGCCATTTGCTCAATAACAAGTTCTATTCTTCAAAAAAAACGGTTACAATGAAGATAATCATACCATATCAAGGAATTTCATTTTTTTCTCTTAATTATCTAGCTTTAACATAACTCTGAAGTTGTATTAAAGCTACCCACACTTCCAGCTGAATCAGGCATATTTACCTTCTTGCAAATTCCAAGTGTTCGTGTCTGTGTGTGTGTGTGTGTGTGTGTGTGTGTGTGTGTGTGTGTGTGTGTGAACTCCAAGTAAGATGGTTTAAGCCCTTTTAACCCATGCTTGAGCCATTGAGTGTTATCAGAAGGGGCTATGACCTAATATGTGTCAACATATTAGGAAAACCACTGAATCTTCAATACAAAAGAAATCCCCAAGTAATATATATTGTTTCAGTATATCTATAAACTAAATGCCTTTTCATTTCATAAAAATTAAAAGTAAAACAAGACATGAAATCTTTAACAAAAGATAAGTTACAAGTAGGCAACATAAAGTGTGAAGGTAAATAACTGACTTTTCAAATAAAAAGAGAAAACTGTCTTCCCAATAAATACCCCCTAAAAAATGGCATGACAATGAAGCTTCCTGATACATTTTGAAAGGTGAACACATACAAGCCAGGAATAGCACTTCATCTATTGTTATATCAATAGATGTTCCCATAGTAACAAACTCAACCCATGAATTCTTCTCTTGGTTCAGTGTAGTCTATTGACAAGTTTAATATTATATTGGCTGGTTTCATTTCGGCTAATGCCAACTGAAAAGATTGTTAGTGCTATAGAAACCATGCTGTACAACCAGTGATTTTCCAAGTCAGGATGCCAAAAAGGTGTCAAATTCAATATCCCAACATTTCTACCTCTAAAATTATTTTTTTAAATAAAATCTGTCTTTAAGAAAAAACTCTCACTTCTATAGCAGAATAAAATTTTGCTAACAAAAAAAGGAAGGAAGGAAAGAAGAGACAGCTATGGGGAAGGAGGAAAGGTAATAAAAAGAAAATCATAACCAGACATTTCTAATTAGTAATTCCTTTTTCAATGTCTCATTATCAGTCATTAATATTCCAAGATCTCCTTAAATTGTTAACGAATGCCCTATAGTTATCACTACTCAAAAAAGTAAGGAGTTGGCCTAAATGCAAATAGCACCACCAAATGCAAATGAACCACTGCCACAGAACAGGACATGTGAGCCCTATTAATCAGAGCTTGCCATCATTAAGGGGGCAACCAGGTCAGGTGCAGTGGTGTTGCACTCCCAATGAAGATAAAAATTTAAACTTTAAAAAAAAGGGCAGTCAAAGCCAAGTTCTAGCCACTTTCTGTCGCAAGGGAATGAAAATTTAATGGCACCAGATCTTTCTGATTTTCAAAAGAAGCTAGAAATCTGCATTTTTGTGTTAAAAAAAAAAAAAACTCACCAGAGATGTGACCAGACAAACACAAGAGATACAGAGGACCTCAACAAGACATCAAATGAGAAGACCAGCCCCTAGACACATAGTAATTTGCCTATACAAAGTAGGTACAAAAGAAAAAATCCTAAAGGCAGCAAGAGAGAAAGGTCAGACTACCTACCAGGGAAAACCAATCAGAATAGCAGCAGACCTATCGGCAGAAACACTACAAGCAAGAAGGGACTAGAGCTCTATATTCAAAGTCCTCAAAGATAAACAATGTAAACCAAGAATTTCCTATCCAGCCAAGCACAGCTTCATCAGTGATGAAGAATTAAAATCTTTGCAGACATCCAATTTCTAAGAAACTGTGCAACTACCAGACCAGCTCTACAGGAGACACTTAAAAAGGTTTAAAGCACAGAAGAAAGAAAAAAAAAAAGAATGACCACACACTTCCCAAGAGAACAGCAGAGCACAGAATCAACAGAGAATACAGTGCAACAATAAACTTGAAAACACACACACATACATTAACCCCAAAGTCAAAAGAAAACAAGAAAACAAAGAAAAAACTTTGTAAGAACCTCATGAGAGCAATAAACAATCACTAATCAGCCTGAATGTGAATGGACTAAATGCACCACTGAAAAGACAGAGAATGGCAAACTGGATAAGAAATCATGACCCAATTATTTGCTGCATCCAGGAGACTCATCTCACTACAAGGGACACACACAGAATCAGAGTTAAAGGATGGAAAACAAGTTTCCAGGTGAATGCATCACAGAAGAACAGGAGTTGCAACCTTAATATCAGACAAAAAAATTTAAGCTATCAAAAATTTTAAAAGATGCAAAAGGACACTACATAATAATAAAGGATTCAATCCATCAACAAGAAATATCCATCCTAAACATATATGCACCCAACACAGGAGCACCAGCATTTATAAAGCAACTACTAAGTAAACTAAAAAAAGATATTGACTCTAACACTATTATAGTAGGGGACTTGAATACCCCACTCACAGCCCTAGATAGATCATCGAGGCAAAAAATCAACAAGGAGATCCAGAACCTAAACTTGACACTCAATCAAATGAACTTAATAGATACCTACAGATTATTCCACCTAACAACCACAGAATATACATTCTACTCATCACCACATGGAATGTACTCC